TTTCGCTAAATTTTACGAAATCCCCTTGACCCTAAATCCTAAACGTAAAAAAACCCTCAAAAAACGAAACGTCAACCAAAAAACTTCGCTTTATGTCTTTTCGCCATAAAAGTTATTCCTTTTGCTTTTTGTCTCGGAAACGATATCCAGCTTGCTCAAGAGCCACCTGTGCCGAGCCCTGCTACTTACATGGGTTATTGTAAAAGATGTAAGTGAATTTTTTGAACTTGTAATTAACTGAGATGAACTTGAAATTTTGTAAAGTTTCATATTTGCCTTGTAAAAATGTTCTTGGGGGCAGTGGGTTCGCGAAAATCCTCACCAGCACCAAACGGAGATTCTGAGACCTCCAATGGTATGTGTTAAATTTAAATAAGGAAATCATTGTTTTTTCCAGTATCGCAGATACCCTTTGCTTCAACGGGATTGGCGGCTGAAAGGCGACCGCTCGCACCCGCGAAGCAGTCTGCGTCTCTCTCGGGAGTGTGCTCTTTGATCATTCTCCAGCCTCGATTAGGCCTCGTAGCCCTGCCTTCCAGCCGCCATCCCGTTGAATCAAAGAGTACCTCTCAACATCTTTTTGAAAAGGGACTGATGGAAGCGTCGTCGTCGTGAACATTGAAAACTTGCAGTATAATACTACATGTTCTGCTCGAGTTAACAGTTCTCATGACTGCTGCAGACATCGGTCGCAGAGAACGTTTTTTCATCTTCGAAGTGGTTGTAAAACGCGCATTTATTTTGCACAGGCCCATCAGCCGCATGATTTACAACAGCACTGAAGTGCTTTTTTATGAAAAAAGCACACGAGCACTATGCTCGCTGCACACTAGAAATGTCGTTCTGTCATGATCTCATGTTAACACTGCTCCGTCGAGCTTACCGTACCAAGAAGCTGACTAAAAGTTTTAATGGTTAAATGCGCATCGATAGTTTCAGCAGCAAAATTCGCGCTTTCATCAAATTTTGTTAATTCTTCCTCAAACATTAACATTTTACATTAAAATGTTGACTTTTCATGTTCCGTTTGAGCGCTAGTTTCTCTTGCATTAGGTTGGCGGATAATTTCTGTACATTTTTCTGGAAAATTCTGAAGAATTTCAGAAGTTCCTCAATTCTGAAAATTCGTTCCACATGTAGCCCACGGCGGGGTACACAACAGTATGACTGATGCCGCTAATGCACAGGTAGCTAGGAAGCTTACGACAACTTTGTAAGGACACTCAAGGTTGTCATATTTTCTCGATTTTATTCTCTGCGGCTGACTTCGTTTTTTCTTTCCTATAATTTTTTAAACGTATTTTCGCACTGCTTCTTTTATGGCAGCAACTTGGTGCTGCTAGCATGCCAAAACAAGGGGCGAAAAAAAGAGAATTCCACAAGAAAAAAGTTGAATTTTGTCGGAAGTTTTTCTTTTTGTCTGCATCGTGTAGGATTCAAGACGGGAAGGTTGAAAATAAATTTTGTGAATTTTCAAAATTGTCTTCTTATTAAAATGAATGTGCGCTGACATGGCACACCATCTAGCTCATGTGAACGTGCGGACATGATTGTGCCATTCCCCCATATTTGCTAGAAACTATGGACCATACCCTGTCCGATTACTACATCCCACTGGCTCTCCCCGACCACCTGAAAAATTGCCAGCCCGTAGACCAAAATGTCCATCAAACGTACTCATACCGTTAAAGCGTGTATGAACCACCGTGTGACAGTATCAGTGGATAGACCTTTGCACCCTGCCAACAAGCCTTGAACATGAGGATTCTGAAGGTTCCTGGTTTTGAGAAATAACATAACAATGTAACAGAAAT